CAGGTGTGACGTCCGAGCCGGTATTGCTTCATATTTATGTCTCTTGCTCATGTTTGAGGGAGGCTTAGTTAGCATAGGGGAGGTCTAGCCTAGGGACCCTTACTGGATGTAGAAGTAGAAGTAATTAATTACTTTTGAAAATAAGTAATCAGTAAAGTAACGGGATTACTTTTTGGGGGAAGTAATCAGTAATTAGTTACTGATTACTTTTTTCAAGTAACTTGACCAACACTGCTTGCAACTACACTATCCAGCTGCTTATTGAGCACAAGATCTATAGAGGCTGGGGTCTATCACACCAGGTGATAGATGTAGCAATACTGAATGATAGCAACATCAGGAAGAAGGACACGAAAAGCTGCAGAAGTACCAAGAGCTCAAAGAAGAGCTCGAGAAAATGTGGAGGGTAACAGTGGGGTAACAGTCGGAGGGCTCAGTGCAGTGATCCCCAAGTTAGAATAGAATAGAATAGAATAGAATAGAATAGAATAGAATAGCCTTTATTGTCATTGTACAGAGTACAACGAAATTGGAGTGCCACTCCCTTGGTGCAAGTTTCAATAATAAATATAAATGTAAAATATAAAAAGTACAAAAAAACAATCGTTAGTACTCAAACAATAGTATGTACAATATATACAGGATAGCAGCATTAATATAATGACAGTATGAATAGGCGAGTGCTTCTAGTAGATCCCAGGAATAACATTCAAGATCTCTGTCCAGAAGAGCGCAGTCCTAGCAGCTAAGATACTGCGCAGGATACTCAAGCTCCCAGGCCTCTGGTAGAGGACCCGAGCTTGAAGGATAGACCACCCGCAGCGGCGAGAGGGGAATAAAAAAAAATTATATATATTTTTAAAATGTATAAAATATTAAAATGACGTCATTTTAACGTCATTTTAATGAGATTAACACTGACAGCACTAAAATATATATAAAACTAAGAGGACCTCTGCCTTTCCCTTACAGTATAAATACCTCATTGTATTTTTGGTGACTTAGTAGAAGATGGCCAAAAATTATGAGTAATCACTTCAGAAATCCTGGTAATTCCAAAGGATTCATGAAAGATTCTTGAAATCCATAAATCTGACAGAACAATCCTGCGCATAAGTCTCCAAGCTTCCCTCATTCCAATCTACAAGATGCTGAACAAAAGATAATCCCTGTACATACATGCACTATCCAAGCCAACTGGATGTGGTCATGCACCGTTATGTTATTACAGTACTTTATTATACAGAAGCCTGCAAAACCAGAAAAATGTACACATACAACAACCTTTAAGACTTTGCTTAACTGTGAGATATGGTAACCTGCCAAGATATCTGAAAAATGTATACATTGAAAAGCAATATTGCTTTTTTAAAAGGTGGCTGGGGGCACGAATTTCAATTCCCTGATTTGCTTCTAAGACAAACATTGTGGAGTAAAAATAAGCATAATTATTATTTTTATGAAAGTTGACCAAAATCACTGATACTGATGG